TAACCAGCGTTTCTTACCGTAAGTATCATTGGGGAACACTGCATTGGCGATGTCAATGTGACCTTTTAAAACCCTTGTATAGCAATCCTGTGTGATAAAAATGTTTTCAAAATTAGAGTTCAACCTATACATGTATTTGCTGTGGTTTCATTTTTTCCTTGGATTAAATTTTATTTTCCTTGATTTTGGATATGGTGTTGTATTTCAATGACTTTAAAACAAAGGACAATTAGATTCAAACCAGGAGTAGAAATGAACTACAGCTCTCTCCTCTGTAGCCGCCGGAGGCTTCTTAGTGTCGTAGTTAGGGAGGCTGGGGAGAAAGAAAAAGCGGAAAGCGCGAGGGATTCGATTGTTGCTACTTTTATCTCCATGATACCTAGCGGGCCCTGCGGGCGGGAGCCTCTGTCGAGGAGAGAGTGAACTACAGCATATTCAAACCCCGTGGATTGAACGCGCCTTTAGGCAAACAAGAGCAAGTCATTCGATTCGAACTATTTGACAAAGAGTCGAGCAACCACGAAATAACGAGCGTAGCTAGATTCATGCTGAGTGTAGGGGGGAACGCTTGACCGACATAATTAGTACTTAATACACGGGCGGATCAAGGGGGAGGGTGCAGGGGATGCGCACCCCCTTCCCCCTGAGATGACCTGCGGTATTCTGCCTAAAAAGAAAAACTATGTGGTTTATTGGTGTTGAAGTAGAGCAAAAGACGAGTCCACCCCCTAATAAAAAAAATCCTGGATCCGCCCCTGTAATAGTATGTCGCAATGTGATTTTACTGACCTTTTGATGTTGGCTTGGGGCTCCAAAATGAACAGTCCGCGTCGTATCTGTCGTCCCATCTCTATCGAGCAATTCAAAACAAAGCTTGTACGCAAGGGGTTAATGTGGGTAGTCACTACTCCAAGCCTGAGCTTTTTTCAAATCAAAGGAAACTTCTTTTTGCAAATCATCGAATACCTGGCTTAGAAATCTGCTATCACCTGCTCTTTGTTTCTTGTGAAAGAGTATTCTCTTTTCACTCATTTTGAAATGTACTTCTTTATTACATGTTTCCCAGTTCACTGACTGGAAAGTTATACGAAACAAACCTTACAAGTATTGTCCACCATTGTCCAGCAGGAAAATGCCATCACTGTTAATCTTGGCGTTTGTATAACGATTAGCTCTGCAAAAGAAGAAAGAAAAAGAAAGAAAGTGTTAGGGCGCAAGGTAAATAGTAACCAAAGCCATACGGCTAAATAACAAAACTATGATTAAAGTTTCCACAGATTTTGGTTTGGGTATTAATCTTTATCGTATTTTCGAATATCAGAAGCCAGACTTCATTCATATGCCACTTACTTGTAATGAATTATCGCACTGTTTGATCCAAAGCCAGCAATTGTTGCAAAGCTCGGGCTTATGAAGTTATCCTGTCGCCTTCAACAAAGGAAATGACCAATCACACAGCAGAATAAGAGCAGTACGGAAGAAAGCGTATTAGCTGAATATTCACGCATCTTTTCATTCCGTCGATTGAGGCGGCCGTTGTAGACCGAGATCAGTTTTCAATGTAGTGCTTATTAGCTCGGTTAGATCCACACGGGCAAAACAATAAGAAAATTAATTAATGAAGAATAAACAATCCACACTATGATAATGTCCCTTCTTACGATTTAAAGTATAACAACTTTGTTTCCGCCACTAATTCTGTTAGCTGAGTGGAATTCTTTAAAGTCTGAAATACGAGAGAAACATCAGTACCAGTCCATTATGCAGATGCGACTTAAATGATGAAAAATCTGCACAAACAAGTTAATTGGCGGTATAACGGCGTTTTCCAAAATGTACCTCTTGTTCAGTCCAAGCAAAGAACTCGCACATGGCAACAGCATCTTTCACCTGAAGACCAGAAAGGAAGAAAATTACCTCGCCACAAAGTTTCTCACACAGTTGAATGTAATTGAGTATATCGTAAGTGATTACTGTCAGGTCAGTGAGAGTGGACTCTTTCGGGAGACTCACGGTGGTCATGATCACGTGGGTTCAGTGAAAAAAAACTTCCTCAAATCAACCCATCACACAGTGTAAAATTCGAAATGGGATTATTCACAAAGAGAGACGTTAAGTGAACTTACATTACGGTGATATTCGGTAACTACAAAATCACTGCTCATTCTCTCTTGCTGTTAGTAAATCAGGGGTGAAGTGACGTGATAAAGTTGTCGCAAGTGAAGATTTCTTCAGGGTGGACAACATGCTTTTCTCTCTTACACTCGTTGCTATCTTCAAGCAATTGATTTACATAACATCACTGGTTTTGTTGTGCTTCGCTTCTCCTCTTTATATCCTTCAGAAACTTCTTCTAAGTCATACAGTTGTCCTCTGGTAACAACCAAGTTTTCTTTTACGGAGTTAAAAAAACGTTTATAAAAACACTTTTTTATACACCGGATGGCGATAGGATAGGAGCATGAAACGCGACATAACGTCACGGTCGGAGTTTCGCTTTTCAATATTCTAATAATTTGTCCGTCTTGTAAAAATTTATCAACAATGTTTTTTATTGCTATTGGTATTATATGACACTCATATAACATCACATTTAAACTTCAATTGATTTCTATACCAAACTTAACCATACTTACATTAGCATTTTTCATTCCATTTATTTCAGTGGGGTTCTTTAATGCTTTTGGCAAAGCAATTGGAGATTCACCTAAAAACAGTTTATCCTAAGAAAATAATTATGTTAGCTTACTATCAATCCGACCTTGTGAAGCTACAATAATGAGGATTCCATTTAGTACAGTGGAAGCTCAATATAACGAAGTCCTCGGTTTAACGATTCATTTTCTTTACCCCAGTCATGACTGTAAAATAAATGAAAAAGAACCTCGTCATAGCGAATAAATTCAGTTTCCAGTCCCTTAGCCCCTCGTTATATCGAGGTTCCACTGCACAGTAAAAAGACCTCTCAAACATGATTTTTATGTCATGATTATTTTGAAAATTTTTCGTGCATTCTTATATTGTGTCTCGCTAACATGTCCTTTCAAGTCGTTTGGCTTAAATTTTTTATTTTGGCATACGGTAGTTGACACGAAAGCTATCGTCTTAGATATAGCTGTTGCTAGGGGATGTATCTTTACATGCGTCTTTAAAAAAGGGTGCGGAAAGCCTTACTCTCAAAGTGCTCTCGTGGAGGGTGATAGCACGTTAAGGACAATAAACATGCGGATCTTGGTATGTTTAATTACATGATTCAACAGTTCTTAAGCCTCTTAAAATGATGTGTGAAATATAAACTGTGACAAAACTTACTGACAAATAATATAGATTACTGACCTTAAGAATATTCATTCGAATTCCATGACTTAAAGATGTACTAAGCTGTGTGGATTAACACAAAAAAAATGATGACGCTGACCTGAGATTAAAAGTGGAAGAATACAAAACGAAATACGAAGTACGAAATACGAAATACGAAGTACTGTACGAAACAAAGAAAACATATAAAAGCTTATCTTTACCCACATCAGACCAGAAAAAAGTTTTAGTTAAGTCAGTCTTCTTCCAACTCCATGACGATCATTTCAGGCTACGGTAAACTGAGCGGACTTACCCATATTTTGGCGTTTTTATTTTTAGCAAGTCGTTTGACCTCCGTTGTTATAGTGTTGTACGGTTTAAGCAAAACACACAGGGCTTTCTTTTTTGGACACTGATCAACTCTCAAATGTTTCCTTACACGTGACGTAACTTTGGCATTGTCTACAAACAGCCTGAAAAGTAAATTCTGAAAGTTATTGTCAGAATAATGTACAGAATGTACCGATTATTAAGAAATGACTTATTGAAAGGCTTAGTTTAGCTAATACTACTTTCTAATCAGTCCAAGTTTGATCTTGATAACGGGTGAATAAAATATGTAGTTTTCTTTACTTACATGACAACGGCGTTTGTAACTACAGCATAGGAAAAGAAGACGGGCGAGTATTTTAGGTCAAACCCACGAAGGTTAAATAACCCTGTCGAGTGAGAGGGAAAATAACAAAAGATATTTACTTCTCCGATTGGTTAGTTGATAAAACAGAAAAAAGTGCTCCCCCTCTCCCCCGCCTCAATATAAACATGAAAGCATCTGCATCAAGTCCAACTAAACTCACATGCTATTTCATCCAGTTTGTGAAGTACAACAGCAGTTGAAGATCTTTCTTTAAGCAATTTACGCAGAGCTGAGATTTTGTCTTGCCAACATTTACCTAAAATGTGAAAATACATGAAATCAATCAATCAATCAGCAGTAGAGGAACCACTATGAATTAAAATAATCAACTATTGCAACCACTAAAATCGAATTAATAAAACTATTTACAAGTGTGTCATTATTGACTAGAGACCGAGTATAAATTTATAAGATTTTTACATGTGTGTAAGACTATTGCTAAATTCCAAAAAAAAACTATTCACAAGTGCGTATGAGCTTCGTTAAAATAGTAGTGTGTTCATTACACTACATAGAGTGCAATTTGAGCACTGAGCGTCAGTAAGCAGGGAATTTAGGTCAAGCTGTAGAATATGCTGCTTGAACACAGATAGTGTGTAGTAATTCGGTAAATAGCAAAGATCAGGATGACACTGTCTAGTACTTTTTAGCTCTAAAGTTTACCTTTTTATCAAGTATGCAGGAATCTTGAAAACAGCTCTATTACCTGAAAACTTTAAGTCGAGGACTATCAACTCTCTCGGGACCGGCTTGGGTCGGTCGCTCTTCCAAATAAGGTCAATGAGGTTTTGTTTGATAGGGATCAAACGTATACGATGTTTCTTCAGCTCCTGGTGACGTAACATGCATCTCAGTATGGCAACATATGGATTTAGCCAGGGCTAAAAGCGAAGCTCTCGTTACTATACTTAGAATTTACTCACACAAAAATAAAATCGTGTAGTGCTAAACGGCGACGGATTTAGGGACCTTCAGCAAGGACCACACAACGTCGATAAAAAAAATGAATTTACTTTCTTTCAAACTTAGTCGCGTCAATTTGGACCCGCTCAATATGCCAAATGCAGGCGACTTTTCCTGGAGTTGAATTCTTAAGGATTTTATTCAGTTTCAAAAAGAGAAAGGAAAATTCGTTGTCGTATGTCCACGTCCTCCACAAGTCGTCAAATTAAGAGGTTTCACGTCGTAGTCGTGCAGTGGACGTCAAAGAAATGTACTAAATACACGTGCAGAGCTGTTGTTTTGATCATTAAACCTACATTGTTTTTTGAAGTTGTCGTTGTGGTTGTCGTCGTAGTTGCTTAAGCTGCCTACTGAGAACGGCAACAAAACTGACCAACAACAACAATAGGTGTAATTAGCAAAAAACAACTTTGCACGTGCAGCACACTTTTTTGTACATTTCTTTGTCATTGTTGTTGCGCGACTACACCGTGAAACTTTCAATTTCTAGTTTTATGGAAGAAATGTCGTATGTTCTCACAAAAAGAATTTGCTGATTGTATTCCTGTTGGCTTTCTTTTTTACGTACTGCCGCTCATTTTCACCTCACTGGCCGCGAACATTTCTCATCTTCTCACCACCGCTATTAAATTCTAACGACATTTGTCTCCTATGTTTTTTATCTCTCGCTCTAGCTCTTTCTCTGTTATCCACGTCCACCTAGACATTAAAATCTAGTGAGAAAAAGAGACTCGGATTTGTTGCTGTGTATTCTCTATAAAAGTCCCAGAGGCCAAAATGACCGTAACATGGACGTCTATAGGCTCGACTCAGATTTAAAAAGGTCATTTCACATTGGTTGTCCTGTGGTGCGGACGGAGCGCGTACGGACACATGACTACCGTGACTCCTCGGATGCATAGATAACCAAATTGTCTCACATCATGGTGCTCCTTTTTGCGCGCTTTGGGTGCGCGAGAACTCCGCTAATTTTTTTACCTGTAGATCATCATAGAAAGCACTTCACTTTACCTTGGACAAACGATCCCATTCACCTGTAGAAAGAACCATAATAAAGGCTGAATGTAATTGGCGCCAAAGTTGTTGACTTAACTATTTACGACCCAACTAAAAAGTGAGAGGTTCAAAATGATTGTAAGAAGGATTCATTAAGTTTCTTCTGTATCGTGCAATTAAGTCAACAGAAATTATTGTAAACGTCTACTGTAAGGGAGATAAATTAATGTTTATCGGTGTTACTAATGACCCCTCACAAGGAAGTGATAACCGATGACTTTTAATTAAAAGTTTTGAAAAAATTTTCATTACATCATAATTAAACTTACATAAAGAGAAAAGAAAAGGATCCACGCCAACCTTGGAGCCTTTGGGAAGGTTCTGAAATAATATTCACGACGGATGTTACCATTAGGTGGAAATTTTACATTCGCTATACACCGACCCTCTTTCAGTTAATCAACCCTCAACTCCTCTTTCCGTTCAATGAAACAACACCTTATCGTAACAATAGACGACCAAAGCGTTTTATCGATTTATAGGTACAGTAACCTGTTCCAGGCTCTCAGATACTGGGGAAGACGCGAAAGAAAAAGGTACGCGGAAAGTTGGCGGGGCGGGAAAAAGCTCTCCCCAGTTTCCTCCCATATATTTTTCATGTTTGCGCTTTCTCAATTCAGCGGACCCGACTATCTCGGAGCCTGGAACAGGTTATAGGTACAATGAAAGCTGAGGTGGCCTCCGGCATTCAAAGAGGCAATAGCAGAACAACAAAACGCTCAGCATCTTTGTCATTTTTTACTTTTCGCTCATACATTTTAGTCCTTTTGCAGTTTTCGAGAGATATCTTCAAGACTTTTTCACCTGTTTTAACTTCTAGTTTCCGGAAAATTAACGTGTTTTTGAAATACTCAACATTCGTAATATCCTTCATCAATTAAATCCTCAGTTTTCTGTACTGAGGTAGTAATCGGCTCCTGACTGAGGTCAGTTTGTATAACGTTCAAGACAAATTTTCAAAAACTTTCTTTAGTCTCTAATATTTTAAAGCACTTTATATTCTAATACCCACCTCCTCCAAATTCAATGGAAAGAGTCAACCTTATGGAGAGACATGTCCGTTTAGCGGAAAGAACACGCACCGCACTCACCTGACTGATCCATTTGGCCAGGCTTGGAGTTCCTTTCATTTCTGTGTTAATATAAAATCGTGCAACGAGTTATACAGTTTCATTATCACGAGCCTGATAACTGGAATGCATTAAATTGGTTAAAGCAAGCTTCAGTAGGCGAGTTTTGGCTTACAACGTGTTATTAAAGGCTTCGCATAAGACATAAGGTAGTAAAGCAAGAGAGAATTTTCTCTTGTAGTAAAAGGAATGTCGGTTTTTATCAGTGGCGATTTAAGCCCAGTTGTCGTCACCTGAACCGAGCCTACACTGTCTTTTTGCTATAATGTTGTGAGATGACATGTCTAGGTCCATCTTGATCAAAACCATCTTTCTACTCATTGCTTTCGCTAAAAGCGCTAAACGTTTTTGCTTTCGTAAAAATTTGTCCAACATTTTTTGTTCTATGATCACAGAAAATCTAAGAATGTTACCTTCTTTTTGTAATATCCAGTTGCAATCAAGCTCCATGTTCGCTTGCACAAAGTATCTTCCGTCAGTCCACAAGGCAGCCTTCTTGTTAGTTATAACGGCGGTTCCTAAAATGCATATCTGTTGTAAATTGAAAATACTGAAAAATTCCTCTCTTTTTTAATAATAAGAAACAGTTTCAACAGTGATAACAAAATAGTACCGCGAGATCCCCTAAATCCCGAAATGAATTCCCTCCTTCGATGCTGAGGTGCAACGTCTTCACTCTGTGGAAAATAGTGTAAGTGTCTCATAAAGGTACAGCAGCATTAATCGTTTATGAACTAAGGCAAAATGTTTTTTACTAAATAGTCTTTCACCCTTGAAAGAGCCTACGGCAGCTACAGCTTGGCACGCAGCTTGGTTGTCACGGGTTCGATTTCCGTCACCGTATGAATCCTCAGTTTCTCAAAATAATTGAGGAAGAAGGCACTTTCCAAATTCACCTCAAATGGCTAGGCTTTCTTGTGATTTGGATATATATCCGTCATTAGAAATAGCCCCTGTCCCATCTCCAATAGGAGACGTTTACAACAACACTGAGCGTTCTCAATAAGTACCTAGTGATAAATACATCATATTTTCAATTAATAGTAGTAAATATTATATCTGGTGTGTATTGATGGATCAATACAGATAAACTCTATCCAGTAATTATATCTGAGGCTTTGTTAGCGTCTATTGGTTAACACTGCATGTAATTTGATTAAGTTGATTAGAAAACAGCAGTTGTACCTGGTGGGCATCAGTGGAAGGCACAATGTAACCTTGTATTCCACCATCTTGTTTACGCATTAAGCTTCTTAAATCTGACAAACGCTTGGTGGTGTTTACTGAGGTTCGCGGTAAAAACTGAAACAATGAAAGTTAAAGGAGATTCAGAATAATTTTAGGCCATGGTAATTATAAGAGACCAAAAAAATGGAATTTTCGGAAGCTTAATAGACATTTTATAACAACTCGAAAATGATCATTGACCTGTGGTTTATGTTTTGAACAAATCCGTTGTTGTAAATCTTCTGCGACCTGATCTTGGAAGGAACCAGTAAGATCGTCTGGAATCTCCGTCACTCCTTTAATAACAAAAAAAACATTTTATTGGAACAAATGAGGATGATTTAAAAACCGTAATTGACCAAAAACTTCTTCCAGATAAAAAAGTGAAATTCAAAGAGCATGAAGCAGTTCAAATCAAAGTGCCATTGACTAACCGGTGGTCACCATAACGCTAAGAATCACAGCAGAAATGATAACAGCTGCTTCTACCATCTCCGCAGCCCTCCCTGTCCACCTGACAGCCTTCACTCAAGGGAAATCAGACCACGTCAACCTCTCGCTCGAAAATGACAACATTTGGCTGGGCTGTCTGTGAAACAGTTCTTAGCAGAAAAAGTGGAGTTAAACGTGTGAAGAATCCAAAATAGCACTATAGGATTACAAGAGAACAGGTACCTGCCATGTTGCCATACCAACACAATTAAGGGATATCTTTACTAAAGTAAATAAATAAACAAATAAATAAAACTGTTAAAAAATAGAAATTAAGTTATATTTGTCAAAGGTGTTTGAATGAACTCAATTGTGGTTCTCAGTAAGGAGCCTCCGCCGTACTCGATCTAAAATAATCATAAAGGTGACTAGTAATAACCAAAGGTTAGGGCAACCGTTGGAGGTGCGTAAGGGTCACTTGACAGATGGTCAAAATTCCATTCATTCTTAAGGTGATGTTACTCGAGACGAATCGCAGCGACGATTTTTAGCACAACACAACGCTGCAATGTTGGAACAGTGTTGTAACCATTCGAAACAATGCCGCAACAATGATGCAAGGCTGCCCTAAAAATGTCAAAAATCGTCGTTTTGAATCGTCTCGTGTAACATCATCTTTAGTGGAAGTCTAAACGAATGCCAATCTCTGCCCCGCTGACCAAAAAGACAGAAGACACTGGGTACGAGATTGAACGAATGCTGGCTACATAAAATACATGCGTGAATTAAAAGTGTTCAGTTAAATGAATTACGTTTTTTTACGATAAGATAAAACTGGCATTATCTACAGCAGTATTGCAAAATTGAATTTATACAGGCACAGACACCATGAATTCATTATTAGCTTGAAAGAGACACCACAAAGGTCTGATCATGGTTTCCTTCAAAGTCCGCGTCAAACTCCCTCCCTCAGCCGTTTCTTCTTTGTTCCCCCTCATGTTAGCCTCTCACGCAGACGTTCTTAGGGTTAAACGCGTGAGGAACCCAGGCCCATAACCAGGGGGAGTGCACGGGGTGCGTTCGCACCCCCGACAGGCTCCAAAGGTCCGCATTTTGATACTCAATATCCAAGTTAAGGAGTGCAGTCGGTTAAACTGAAGTTTCAAACTTAACAGTGATATTCAAACAAAATCAAAGAATGGAAAAAGCAGTAGTGTATTCACTGGGAAAATAAAACCAGCTGCGCTCTAGTGGCCCGAGCCATGCAGAACATTTCAATGAGCGCACAGAGGTTCGAGCTTATCTATTAACGTGCCCACGCTTTGCACGGGAGTTTACGACGAGCGAGCCAATGACAAGGGAGCGATCTCACGATTTTTGTCATGATCAGACACGTCCGCTAACAACGCCCAAAGATGAAAAATTAGTTGAACAGGAAAATAGAAAGAGGAAGGCTGCAGCTAAAGCTTGCCAGTCTCTCGATACACGGGTCAGTAAAGTACCCCGTCAAGAGCCATCAGACGCTGACAATGACAGTGCAGTCTGCGAGGACAGCCCAGCTGAAACCACGACTTCAGATCTATCTCAGTTATAAACTACAGTTTTACAGCGAGATACAGAAGGTAAATCATAATTATTTTCGCAATGTCCACCAGTCTTGTTCCCATTATTATGCTCTGAGATTTAGTCGCTATTCCTCGATATGAAACAAACTCGCTTAATAAAAAGCCAATGAGGGAACACAGAGTAACAATTGGGAGAGGGACTGGGAGGGTTAATCTAAAGCAGCAATCCACAGGCATTGAGGGATAAGGTCCGCAGTATTTTGATGTATCATTTTACATCGTAAAATTAGTCCTTTATAACTTATTTCAAACAGATGTATTCGACAAATGTATACGTAACATTCACGAGTACTTTGCCGTTACAATTTCTCATGTATTGCTACTTTCCAAAATATTAAAACGAATCAGACAATAAAAAATACATTTCGGTAGTTTGGTCCACTTTGGCCTTGTTAGCCCCCCCTCCCCCTAACAAAAAATCCTGGTTACGGGCCTGGAAACCCCTAAGAACGTCTGCGTAGAAGGCTAACCTCCTGTTTCCTTAGTGTAACTTTCATGTCGTTTACGTGAACATAGGTACATTTGTCAGCGGTTTTGCGCGGGCTCAGAAGAACACCAGTGGTTTCTGTTGGTCGCGTTTTGGTGACCGAACTTGAATGCTGTTAAACAATTAGGATTTTCTTACTTCATTTTAATTTTGTCGTACTCTAAGGAGTCGTTTAAGGCTTAGTAACGATGGGAGTGCCAAAGTTTTATAGGTGGGTTAGTGAACGATATCCATGTCTGAGTCAAGTCATTCAAGAACATCAGGTGAGATTGAAGCTGATAACCAGACAGCTGAGTAAGATCAAGTTTTTATATCAAAAATCTACTCAGATCGAGCTTGTGTTTCCTTAGCTTATATTGTGTAACGTGTTTTAATATTTTCAGATTCCTGATTTTGACAATCTTTACCTGGACATGAACGGCATCATTCACCCATGTTCTCACCCAAATGACGATGATCCTCATTTTAGAAAAAGCGAAGAGGATATTTTTGCTGATATTTTTCATTACATAGAAGTAAGCTTAGATACGTGCTCACCTTCTTTGGTCTATATTATTTACTAGCATCTAAGAGGAAATATATTTTGCATCCCTTTATATTAAGTTTTATGTTATGTAATTGCTACCATTATTTTAATATTTGCATGCCCCTAGTGTACTTTATAAAATAACTAAGATTTTACGCGCGTTCTGATTGGTTTAAAACCTATGGTTTATTGTGCCGGTAAACTCATAGAAAACTTCAAGTTATTTTATAAAAGCAATAGACCACACTTTCTATGGGTTTACCGGCGCGATAACCCACTTAGGATGCTGGGAGAACACTCTAAAAGCTTCTAAATCACTTGCCTTTGGCTTGTGATTTACAAGCTTTTCTTGTGTTTTCCCAACATCCTGCATGGGTTATCACGCCGGTAAACCCATAGAAAGCGTGGCCTATTGCTTAAGTTACCTGATATAACTTACTCATGTCTCGTTGGTATATGGGTACTGTTGTTTATTAGGTGTTGGTGAAGTTCTATGCACAATAAAATAAAGTATTAAATTCAAAAAAGATTCCATCAAAACTTAAATTAAAATTCAATTTGCTGGACCTAGATAGACCTTTGGCTCCAGATTTAAAATAATTATTATTTAAGAAAAGTTTGGGGCTTACTGTACATTACTTTTCCAAACTGATTGAAAACACAAGATCTTTTGTACTCAATTTAGTGCCTAGAACACTGGAAATTGCACTTTAGGGCATTGAAATTTTCTACATTTTCTAGGGAAGCATGCCCCCAGAACCCTCTAGAACAACCTTGGGGACTAAAAGCCTTTTCTTGATACAGTCTGTTACTTTTTTCAAACCTGCTGACTACCTCAATTTTTATTGAAACCCCCTGGAGGGATGTGCAGACAATCTCATGTTAAATGCTACTTTTTGATATGCAAACAACTGCCAGTTGGAAAGGAAAATGTGTATATTGGTGAAGTAAATTATAAGAGGTTGCTCATGGTTATTTTTCAGACACTCTTTCATTTCATTTGACACCGTGTGACTGCACAATGCAGTCCTTATGACTGTTAGTCAACAATATTAACCAGCTGATCACTACAGTTGCCAATAGCTTAATAGTCAGAGCATCTGACTTGTGTCTGGACTCTGGAAGGTCTTGGGTTCAATCCCAATGTGGAACCCTTATTTTCTGAGTTCTTCTCTCTGCACATAATTGTCAGTCCACTTACAACTCTTATTTTTTCTTTGATGTATTAATTTTGTTCTCCTGCTTTTGCTTTGTATTCTTTCCACATAAGGTGCTGTTCCGTATTATTAAACCCAAAAAGGTGTTTTTTATGGCTGTCGATGGTGTAGCTCCTCGTGCGAAAATGAATCAACAAAGAGGGAGACGTTTTCGGTAATTTGTTGTAGTAATATTGTTTTCTTCCTTTTTTATTATCCAGATACCAATAAAAGAAGATAAACTACATGTTGTGTATTGTTGATGTAGTATTTTGTTGTGATAAAAGCCAATATGTTGTGTTGCTGTTACCAGTGTTGTGGATATGACATTATATTCTGGAAGTTGTCAAACGTTTGTACTGCTTGTGTTTGTTTTTATTTCAAGGTCTGCTAAAGAAGCAGAAGATAACATTCGCAAAGCTTTGGCGAAAGGACAGGTTCTCCCAAAAGAAGAGAGATTTGATTCAAATTGTATTACTCCGGGTATGGACATGTACATGTACATCATTGTGTCACTGTATTTAGCCTGTGTGTGTATATGTTTGACAGAAGAACTACTTTTTTCCCATAATATTTTCTGGCAGTACATGGCAAACAGGTCTTTGACCTTGTAATGAAATGGTTAATTTGTGACACAAATGACTGAAATCACAACTGTTACAGTAATCAGCAGTTATAATTGCTGCTCGTGTTGGTTAAGTGAGGCAAGGTTTTATTTTTATTTCCTGTTAGGTACTCCATTCATGGTGAGACTTCATAAGCAGTTAAAATTTTTTGTTAATTACAAGATCTCCACTGACCCTGCTTGGCAAGGATTAAGAATCTACCTGTCAGGACATGAGGTATGAGTAGTTGTGACAAATTTTTGCATAAGCAGGATACTGAATTCATTACAGATTCCATAGCTTTCAACAAGTCCTAACATCCACAGGTGCTAAACATTCTGTTGTGAACCACCTCTCAGTTACTTTGCCCTGGTTATCAATTGAATACTTATTAGAATAATCTGAAATCGCCACCTACATGTACTGTACTTTGAGTGTGTGTGTTGATTTGAAACAGATACACCTGTAATAGTCCTAACAGGTAACAGTTGGTAGTCTGCAAAAATTGACTATCAACATCCTAGGCCTCCTTGAAACATCACTGTTTAATCCAACCTAAAATTTATAAAAGAATATTGACAATGAGTAAAGCTGAAGTTCTTGACTGTTTTGAATAAGCACTTCTTTTTAATCAAATAACAGTGTAGAGTTTTCTCTATGCCTGTTGGTGTGAGGATTCTATCTTTATTTTTAAATATTTTCAGACACCAGGTGAAGGAGAGCATAAGATTATGGAGTTTATCAGGTCAGAAAAAGTGAAAGTTGACTATGATCCCAATACCAGACACTGTTTGTATGGATTAGATGCTGATCTGGTAAGTGATCAACTACTGGTGATTATGACAACATCAATTCATACCCAAAAGTCGCAGTCATGCATCGTCAAGTACAAGTATCCAATGTTCTGACCTCTTTGAGACAAAAACATAGAAGAAACCAGTCTGTGACCAAAAAAAATAAAAAAAAACTGGTGTATGCAACTGTCAATTACTCCATTATCAACACAGCACCACAGTTTTTTGGGAAACCATATCCTGTTTTCCTTTGTGACAAAAAGAGACTGCCTTTAACTGGAAAATGAGGGAACTGGAACAGAAAACAGATCTAGAATTAAAACTGACTTGCTTGGGTTTTAAGGAAGACACCTTTTTGGGATGGAACATGAATTATTTTTGTTAGTTTCTTTATCTCTCTGTAATTTCCCTTAGGAAATTAGACAAAAGATTGGTTTGCTTGAAACTCATTAATTTTGTGAAAACTATTTTTGTTAACTTTTCCTTTTTGGCATCATTTATTAATTTTCACTGTTCTGGAAAAAAGTAACATGATATTAATCAAATGTTACAGGTACCTGGGCAATTGCCTGAAAATCATAATAGATGTTCAACCATTATGTATTCCCCAAGTGCCATTTTTTAAGAGCATGTTTTGATGCCGGGATAAGTGTTGGGTTTACATGTAACTAAAAAGATACTTTCTTAACAACACTCAATATTACAATGTACTTTTTGTTTTTGCTTTGTAGATTATGCTTGGACTATCAACACATGAACCCCACTTTTCCCTGCTTCGTGAGGAAGTGAGATTTGGAAAAGCAGCAAAAAGGTTAATTTGTGCAGAAAAGAAAGTTATTCAAACACTCATTCCAGAGCAAATTGGAATTTAAACATGTTGGTTTTTAAGATGACAAACTAGAGCACTAGGAGAAAAACCTCTTGCATCAAGGAAAAGAACTAATAACAAACCACTCATAGATGGTGCTAGCCTGCAAGTACAGTTTTCTTTTCTTGTTCCTTGCTGCCAGGGACGTTTCGTTGGAGAGACGTCTGTGATTTGGCCCCCAAAATTCCACGCTGATGACGTAAATTTGTCTGGACTCTTGTCAGCAAGAGCTCATTGGTTGACATACTGGGACTTATTTTATTCTTTTAGCTATTAAAGAATGAACTCAAACAAATCTTGAACCCCATGATTACCAGATTACTATTATGCAAACATTGATATACGTAACCAGTATGAAATTTTTTGGGCACAATCCTCCTTGAAATGTCCCTAGCGGTGAGGAGTGAGATGTCCCTAGCGGTGAGGAGTGAGGAAAGAGCAGGCCAGTAATATGGCATCAAACTTGGATTTGAACCCAGACCATATTGTTAGGAGGTGACTGCTCTCATCACTATGGCACTGTCCCTGCTCCTCAGAAGGAGAGTTTGTTAAGTTTGTACTTCCCATAATTATTATTGTTGTGTTTGTATCAATCACTTACAGAATAACAAAACCTGAAAAGACTACATTTCATCTTCTTCACTTGTCACTGTTCAGAGAATACATAGACTGGGAATTCAGTGAATTAAAGGTACTCATTAAAAACTCCAGGCCAGCTCTACATCAAGTATAACAGATTCTCTGTAGAAATCACACATGTGGCACTTATTTATGTGTATGTGTGCTCTACACTCGGTCAGTTTTGTCCCTGTCCATTGGTAGGTTTTAAAACACCCCATCATCATAGAAGTAATTGTCCCTTTAAATTGTTGCAGTTTGCACCAGTTCTCAGTTTATAGCCTTAGAAAGTGGATTGTAGAAACACAATAGGCAATCTTAAAAGGGGGCTGGGGCAAGATAGGCCCAGGGCTGTCTCTAAGAGCTGGGGGGGGTTGCTATAAACAACAAAAGGAAAATGGAACCAAAATGACTTCCTGTCTGTTCTTCCATTCGCTGCTGAGTATTTGCATACACCCGGCAATTTGAAATCTTAGTGACAGGCCAGAGGCTCATTTGGCCTGTGTGGTTAGCCAATCAGAACACAGGATTTTCTTCATCTTACTCCCTTTCAAAGCTAGTCATAATTATTATAAATAATTGTATTGTACTTTTTTTGTAATGATATGATCAGTCAGTCTATTAAATAGTATTGATGTTATTTTTTTAACAGAGCAAATTACCCTTCGCCTATGACCTTGAGAGGATCATAGATGATTGGGTTCTTATGGGTTTTCTGGTTGGGAATGATTTTATCCCACATCTGCCAAACCTCCATATTAACCATGTAAGTAACGAATATAAAAAAACTTTGCACAATAATTGGTAGATAATACAGATATAACAGTTAATAGAACTATAATTATGTCACCTTGATTCATTCTTTAATTGGTAATAATCTAGCTGTAACTAGAATCCAAAATTTGAAACCCAATACCTAAGTTATTGTTTGTTTTTGATTGATGAATTATGCTGTTGTAATTAGTTTTGTAATCAATTTGTTACTTGTAGTTTTTTTAAACTTTTTTCCACACATTTCAAACCTTATCACTAGTTTAAGAGAGTTGGTAATCACCTTTTTGGAGTAAATTGATGTGATACAAATACAGATAACAGCCGTATTTTACCTGCAATTAGTTTGTAGAAACCTCTCTTACATGTCAGTATTTTATGACCCACCAGGATGCCTTGCCATACTTGTACAAAGTTTACATTGAAGTTATGCCTTCTCAAGATGGTAACTATACAGTATTCTGTATTTTGTTTTACAGCATTAGCTATACATGTACATGTACTAATTATGACTGGTAGTTCATTTTTATTAAGTATAAAAGTCTTAAAATGGAAGAAAATTGCAATGAAAAACTGTAGTTTTCAAAAGTGCACTGTTGCAAATTTAATGCTATGACCACCTCATTGAGAATTAGTCAGGCATGAAATTTTGTGTGCATTCTTTTTTTCCTTTACCTCCTTGTTTTGCAAAGTGATGAAGTTGGCACTGATTTTAAGTAACAATTTTATCTCAAATTGTTTCAAAGGTTATCTTCATGACGGTGGAAGACTCATATTAACCAGATTTGAGAAGTACCTGGTTGCTTTATCTAAGGTAGAGTTTTCAAGTTGTGATGATAGTAGCTTGCCTTCAGGGTCGTTTTTCTGTAAAATTATATCTGAAGCCACATGTACTTTCTGTAGCTGTAGTTGTGAGACTGTTCAGGATGTGTCGATGCCAAGAAATTTAAAGGAAATCTATTTTTTTTATAAAGCCTTGTTTAAAGAATAGTTTTACCAAACAGTCTTATTTGTCATCTGCATGATAATTTAAAGATTTTGAATAATATGTTGGTAAGAGGGCTAATTTAAGCCTTTTTCTCCCACAGTTTGACAGAGATCAGTTTGAAGAGAAGTTTGTTGATATGAAATGGTTTGAAAGTAAGAAAGGTTTTACATTTGGAAACAATCCAGTGGAGTCAGAGGTATTTATGGAGTATTCTGCTTAAGGGCTCTGCTTAATGAAAGTAAGTCATACATCTCACTTAGCTATGTTGTGTTATTCCCTCGTATGTCTTACAAAGGAAGACGATTCTTTGCTGACTTTAAACAACAGTTTTGCTGCATTGGAGTTAATACCTGGAGATACTGTGAAAGCAAAAAAACCAGACAGGAAAATGAACCCTGAACTTGAAAAGCTGGCAAGAAAGTTTGATGACGAGTTAAGCGATGAAGAAGAGGATGTTTTTGAGACTGAATTTGCAATGCATAAAAGAGACTATTACATGGGAAAGATGGGATATGAACAAGTCACCAGGTAAACTCTGTGATATTTAACATTTAAACTTATTTCATCTTGTAGATAGGGATACTGGCATCCACATGTATACTGTGTAGGGGTGTCAATAAGCACTGATGACCAATGCAATGCTTCAGGTACTTTCCTCAGAGAAGTTGGCTACTTTATTCCCCCTTATTGAAGCAGGAAATGATTATTGAATTAAAGAAATATTCTGTCAAAACTTAAATTAGAACAGTCATAAAACTAAAGGGAATTAGGCATTAATTAATTAATTGGCATTAATTGACCTTAGTTGCTCACATTTTGCATAAAGTGCAATGTTAACTACTCTTGGTTATTCTGTTCGTATTCATTGATTTCCAGGAAATGTATTAACATGCAAACTGCCAATACATTAGTGTATTACTGATCAGTAAAATTGTAAAAAAATAAGATTATCTTTTGTACTCAATTTAGTACCCACAAAGCTGAAAATCACTTTTTAGGGCTTCGAAATTTCTAAATTTTCTGGGCGAACACTCCACTGACCCCCTAGAAAAAGGGATCTACCCACCTTTCGTTAATACAGTTGGTTACTCTATTCAAACCTGTTGGCTACAGTACCCCTGTATGTGTATCATCACTTGTTGCTCTTTATCTCATCTGGAGTGCTATTTGCATTAATAAGGTGAAGCAGTCTGTTATACACCCTGCTATAACTGTACCATGATTCTTATTTCAGAGATGTGCTAGCAGAGCAGACGTTCCAGTATGTTAAGGGAATCCAGTGGATTCTATTGTACTATTTCAGTGGAGTACCCTCTTGGAGTTGGTAATAATGTTTTTTATGAACATGTATTGAAATCGTGTATTTCACAACCCATTTTCTGGTTAGCATAGTTTATTATCTTCCTCCAGACAATTAATGTACGCATGATACATTTCGTAGTTACAAACTCGCTAAATCTACAGCTATGCATAAATATCTAAATTTACATCTAACATGAAATTACTACTGGTCAACAAGTTCGGCTAGAAGTGAGATGTCGACTTACACAATTTGAAAGGAAATCATAGAAGTCCCTTTTAAACAATGAAAAATAACTTTAAAAGTACTCTAAATGTAGGTTTAATAATTCATCATATGTCTGAGATCAATATGTTAGTCAACTTACTCATTGTATCTTTGTATTTTAGGTTTTATCCTTTTCATTATGCTCCCTACATGTCTGACATAAGGAACTTTGGTGAAATGTTGATCCAGTTTGAGTTGTGCACTCCTTTCCTTCCATTTGAACAGCTTCTTGCTGTATTACCTGCTGCCAGCCGACAACTCTTGCCAAAACCATTCCAGGTGCTTTTTCATTCGTACAAATGATTTTAGGTTTTTTTTTATACTTGACTTTACGGAGGTAGAAAACATACTGTGTGTGTACAGTTTAGTTGGTCAAAAGCACTCCACTTCTATTTCATATACAACTGCTTTAGAACAGTTACCGGTAACTGTCTGTCTCCATGGTTTATACCTGGCACGACATATTTTGGCTGGTAAAATTAATATTGTGAAGTAGTATCAAGAAATCATACTTGATGAATGCAGAGCCAACAAATGAAAGAGGAAAGGACATGCTTACAGAGTGCAAATTAATTATCATGTGCCTAGATTTAAAACTTCTTAGTTAGAGCTGGGAAAATCACGATAGGACTAATGATAGTTCAGATAAAATAACACACGAAAAGCGTTATAAAGCCTTATGCATATAGAAGCAATAACAACAGAACGATATAGGAAAAGAAACTTACTTACACACAATTAAGTAAGATACCCAAGACCCTTCGTACAGTAGCGGAGTAAAGTAATGTTTGTATTCACTACTAGTGCAACTCGACCGATTTTTAGAAGAGAGAGAAGGTTATAAGACAAAGATATTATGGCACATATAAACTGTTGTATGCAATAGTGGTTAGAGGACAGTTCTTGTACCGTGTGATCAAACTGGCATGCAAGGCGGTGGTGAGAAGACAGGGCTGAAGCCTGATACCTTGCCAAAAATAGAGAAAGTTGAGTCTTGAGAAAGGGAAATATGGAGAAGAATGGGTTACAAATATTGATGAATAACAGTTAATTTGTTATCCCTTCCGCAGTGCCCTACTGTACACTTTTCACATTTAACAAACAATAATCAGACATGACTGACCATCTAGCGATTTAACCAGCCAATAACCTTTTGACCAGCCGTTGTCCATTTACCATCCCTATGTGTCTTTAGCCCTGGTTTTGTTTGAGTGTTTGTAATAACAGGGGTATGGTGCAAAAAGTAAACTGTCTGGTTATGGTCAATTTTTTAACAGAACTTGATGATCATGGAACAGTCAGAGATTATAGAGTACTATCCGGTGAATTTCAAGACAGACTTGAATGGTAAACAACAAGAGTGGGAAGCTGTTGTGTTGATTCCCTTCATTGATGAGGTTGGTTTACCAATGCAGTCTTTACACTGATGCACTGATGCTTAACATTATTCATTTCGGTACATTTTGTCGTGGTTGTCAATGCATGGTTGTTATCTAAGGTTGTGTTAACACCGTGTCTGTAATCTACTTTTTTTTCATTTGTTTTAAAGAAGTCTAATGCATTTTAACTGTTTACCCGAATATGTCATGTGTGTGTTTTGATTTGTTCATTAATACCTGACGGGGTGGTGGGGGGAGGGGGTGGAGGGGGGTGTGGTTTATTTAAGTCAAGCATAGTTTTGTGTTCACAATAGTTATGTGTGACAAAGTGGAATTACTTTTTTTTCTTCTCAGCAAAAGCTGCTTGATGCCATGTCACCTCTGTATTCAAGGTTAACAGAAGAGGAGTTGAATCGTAATAAACATGGCCCTTGTTTATTGTACACTTATGATTCAGCCCTAAACTTTCCTGTATCATCATCACTGCCTGGAAAGTTTCCTGATCTTTCCTGCTGCCATGCTAGGTATGAGTTCTTGTGACATGAACACAGTGACACACTACGGTTTTGGGTATTATTAATGACTTTGAAGGGGACAGACGGCAAATAATTGTTATGGCTGGAAATGTCTACATGTAATATTTGTTCATCATTAGGATGCCTTAACTGCAATTCCACAATTGGTCTGAGATCTATTAAATTCTATACCAGTAGTAATTATTTATTGTAGAACATTTTAGGAGGAGCCACCCACAATGCGAGCAGAGTTACTGGAAGGCCCATGAGTTATGAAAAAAAGCAAAATAATTGCAGTTCATTAAATGATGACTTAATGCATACAGGTCTTTGTCCATTAAATAAGTTAATGAAGTAAATGTGCATTATTGAATTCTGCTGTGCACACAAACTATATCAGCTGACAGGATGAAAGAATTAAATAAAAAAATGATACAGGGGTTTATTCAACGATAGAGTGCTAGCTTTTTCTGAAAAGTATGTTAGATTAAAGACTATGAAGAAAAGGTATTGGCTGCTACGTTGTAATCATGTTTTCTGTTTGTTAGGTGTGAGGTTCTTGACAAAGACATCTTTCATGTGGATTTGAAGCACATGCATAGAGGTGTGTCCATCTACAATAAACTTCTGGGCTATCTTTGAAATCAGATTGTTTTGATAAGTTTGTAATTAAACTAGATGACCCAAGTTACCGCCGTTTTAGACAGAAATCAGCTGGTTCAATCTTCAGTGGGAAAGCTGGATGATTTGAAGCTGAATTTAAATTTAGCACATTCCTTTCATATTAAGTCACCTGTTTAGTCCTTTCCTGACAGGACAATGAGTGCAATATATTATTTTGTTCTTGCAGGTCTCTGTGAGGGAGTCAAACTTGATGTGTTTTACCCTGGATTTCCAACCATGTACCATGTGGCCCATGAGGTACTAATGCGTTTTCTTTTTTGGAAAAAGTTAAACTTGTTTATTGGTTTATCATAAAGATTTAGGTTTACTTTCAGGATACACTTTCTCATCATGAACAAGTTGGGTATCATAGTCGTCTTTCAAATTAGGAGATGCTGACGTCAGAAGTTGCTTCAATGGGTTAAGCCAGCGGTGCCTTGTAACTTGTATTTACACCATAAGTAATGTTCTCTGACGTCATGAGGGGCTGCAATGGGTTAAGCCAGCAGTGCCTTGTAACCTGTATTTACACTGTCATTAATAATGTTTTAGTAACTCATTTGCTGTTTGTGATTCAGGCGGAGCTCAGGAAGGCAAATGTAAAGGTATTTCAGATGCATAGCAAAGGCAAAAGTATGATTCTTCAGATCACTCCATCACAGCAAGAGGTGAGCTGGTATTGTTTATTATACAATTTGCTGCAATAGAATTACTGGGTGTCCTTAGTTTGGCCCTGAGTATAGTACAGTACTTTTTCAACTGTACAGTTTCTTGGTCTTTGGTTTGTCTTGCTCTTCCTTTCGTCATTAAATTTAACGTTTGAAATGATTACCTTCATGTGTTTAATACTTTGATAGAAATATAAAATTTTTTAATGCTTGTCATTAGTATTTAACAAACATTCTTCAAGGTCTTGAGCGTCATTTTCCATCAATGAATGTTATTTTTTGTTGTGTCAGGTTTCATCAGAAGAAATAGCAGAGCATCTGCTGGGTGAAACATGTTATGTTGGCTGGCCTCACATGGTTGAAGCACTGGTTATGGGTGTTTGTGACGGAACCAAAAGGTAAAATATGTCCTTTTTGTCATTATAAACATATTAATGTCTTTATTTATTTGGTGACCTGTATATGTGTCAACCAGCCAGAAGCAGCACTACCCAGTTCTGGGGTTATTGGCTGAAGAGAAACAAAGTATGTTCACAATTACAGAATCCAGCTAAATATTTTTGTTTAACAGATACTCTTTACAAAAGAAGACTTCACAAAATTCCACAAAGGAAATAAAAGAGGAGGTATTGACAGAGGTTCAAGTTAAAAGTTTTAGACATCAAGTCAAGACTATGGCAGAAACGTAAGTATTGCGTTGTCAAAAGCCCCCTCCTTTGTACGTATATCCTTTGTTTCAAAGAGTCCAGAACGCTGCAGCTAGGGTTGTTACCTTTTCTTCTAAGTTAAGCCATGTTACCCCTGTACACCAAGAACTTCAGTGGCTGCCAGTGAGATTTTGTATTTCTTTTAATCCTTTTTAAATCTTTGCTTGGTCAGTCACCCTAGTATATAAGGAATTTAATTTCAGTAAGGAATCAATCTGCCCATCAGTTGCGATCATATGATGGATTACTTCTAGATTTCCCTCGTGGGAAGGTGTTGTCATCTTTCTGAGACAGAGCTTTTTCTGTTGCTGCTCCCACATTGAGGAATGCATTACCCACCTTGTTAAGGAAATCAAAAACAGTTCAACAGTTTTAATTCTTACTTAAAACATATCTTTTTAAACTAGCCTTTAATTCTCAGTATTTTTAATTTTATTTCTTTAAAAATTTTATAAGGTTTTTAGAATTCATAATGTATTGCGCCTTTGATTACTGCATGTTAAAAGGTGCAATATAAGTAATAATAATAATAATAATAATAATAATTATTATTATTATTATTATTATTTATTTATTTATTTTTTTTTGTCAGGCACTTGGAGAGAAGAGGAATAGAGATTGGAGAAACCAGAGTCATCGTTGACGCTTGTCCCATCAGGGGAAAACGGTTAGCAATATATTATTGAAGTTGCTTTTACTTTTGAGAAGTAATTTGGTGTACACTATTCCATGAACCCTGTAAGCGACTGTTAAGATGTATACTAAAATCGCCTTTTGTTTTCCTTCTTGTTTTCTTTTGTTATTTTATAAAATACTTTACAGTGTAAAAGGAAAATTAGCGCTGATATCATGTTATCGTAGTCAAGTATCATCGATCGTTGCTTTATTAAAGCCTGTAGTTTTTAAGAACTTCCTTAAGTAATAGCCATAACTGATGAAACAAAAGTCTGATGACTGTTATAGAGTAAATTAAAGGTCTTATTAGGAAAACTGACACAAACAAAAATGTACTTATAAGCCGCATTGTACAAGCATTTGCAATATGTATCTCCCTTTGAGGCTTGTTCGTTTGCTTGTTTTCAAGGAACGATTTTCATTTCATAACCCCGAGGTATAAATACACTATTGATTTGTCTTTGTGTTTGTAGATATGTATGTGGAGCCAAAGGTCTGGTTACCATGGAAAAAGAATGGACACCAAATCCAATATCTTATCCTCACCAACTGACAGTCAAGGTAATTCTTTTCACTTCTTTTGCAGGTACTTCCTATATAACTAACAAATGTCTGATATTATATCATTCTAGCTGCATCGAAAGAGCAATGATTTTATTTCTTTATCTTTTTCTACGAAATCTTTTACATTGTTAACAAGTGTTCGATTGTCCACACTGCTTACAAAAAGGAATTTATAAAATAAAAATAACAATGCATCAATGTGTATAACGGAAGAAGCAAAGTGTAGCTTTTAAGAGTTGTATTTCAAGTAAATGTTATGAAGGGTTCCATTTAGTGTCAGCAGTTGACTTGACCCAGAGAAGGTGTTTATATTTCTGTTTTCTGGGAAGATCAAATTTCAGGCTTCTGTCCTGCTACCCTAAGCTTTATTTAGTACATAGAGTAAGAGACAAAGGTTTTATACAATTTTTGTTTCTGAGTGTTTTCTTTCGTGTTCACTTGACTGTTCCGGCAAAAAGCCGCAAATATGGCATTAAGAAGAGCTACGTTTCTAACAAAAGAAGCCCGGATATTCATAGGAAGTACAGTTCACAACGCAAACTTAAACTTTTAAACCTGTGGCTGGGCTTTGCAGGAGTTTCGTATTATAGAAAAATTGAGAAATGCGGCCTTTGCTTTTCTTGTTTGTTTTAAAGGATATCCATGTACATGAGACACACGAGGATGATAAAATTCACACTGTTGAAGAACTCTTTCCTGTTGGATGTCAGTGCTTCATGTTAGCTTCACCGTATTATGGTGCTTCCGGAGAAGTGATAGAGGTTGACGTAAAGCAGTCACGTGTCAGAGTGCAGCTTAGTGTCCCTGTGGAACCAGACATAATGTCTGTCATTGACCAACATCAGGTATTGAAGTTAGCTTAGTGTCCCTGTGGAACCGGACTTCATGTCTATCATTGACCAACATCAGGTACTGAAGTTAGCTTAGTGTCCCTGTGGAACCGGACTTCATGTCTATCATTGACCAACATCAGGTACTGATGATAGTTCAGTGTCTCTGTGGAACTGGACATGTTACATAAATCACCATCTTCAGACTATATAATACCATTGTTAGACGAGTTAGTTGTTCCTTGAATACGTGGTTCATACAGTTATTAATATTCTGTATTGACCGATGACCTTTTTGTTCTATCAGGGCTTGTCGTTACATTATCTTCCTGCACACATTGTCGCCAAGAAGCTTGGTATCACTCCCAATTTGTTATCAAGAATAACTGGCAGCCTCCTTATACAACAGGGTTCCAGTAAAGAGTGAGTACACATGTACATAGTTAATTCACTACATTCAATAACCACATATAGTCTCCAATGATATAGTGAAGAACTTACCAGCTGCTCATATGTAGCTACTGCGTCGACGCCGAGGTCTATTTCTCTTTCGTAAACGGTCTTTGCTATTTTTGACGGTCGATGCTACCATTGCTAACCAAGCCTTTATTCGTGATAGATGTAATATATTCCCTGGACTAAGTTACAATAAGGAAAATAATATGAATAATAATAAGAACGACGTTGAAGCCCAAGTTGAATTTACGTTAAAATTTATGGAAAGGGCTAGGGTCACCTGTTATTGATGTACCAGTGACGAAAAACAGTTTGTTAGTTTATGTACTTAAATTTTTCGAATTTTTGGCGGGTCGGCGTGTAGTGGTAATGGAGAGAGATAAGGGTATGAAAGGTCCGGGTTCGACCCTGCATTGCGATTTTCTTTCTTTTTAATAGAAACACTGTCAATAACAGGTCAAGATTACGAAACGCCAGACTCGCATAGCAATATGGGTCATTTTATAAAACATTACTAATCTTACTCATGAAACAACTCTTCTGTCGTAAAATCAAAAGGCAAGCGTTTGTGTCGTTTTATGCCATTCTGTGGCGCTGGCAACCGCGAAGTTACGAAGTCATGACTTGACGTTGCGATCTTGTTGCGTAGGCTTGAGGCCTTAAAGTCTCCTGCAATACACTGCGCTTACTTATACGAACACAATGTTTATCTTGCAGTTCAACTGGAAGTGGCGCCAAGCTTGATATTGGGTTGAATATGAAGTTCAGTAAACAAAACAAAGAAGTAAGATAAAGTAACTTAGTTTGTTTCAAGAACCGTGTATTAGGCTCTTTTGGAGTAACATTCCGACAATCGACTGGCCTGAAAACAGCAATATGACAGTTCATATGGTGACAAACGAAACAAAGAGGGCTTGGACCTAACAAAAAAAAAATAAATAAATAAACAAAATACCAACAGGGACGTGGGACGCGAAACGAAGTGTTCTCAAATGAACATTTGACACATAGCCTCCCCCCCCCCTCCCCCCGTCTCCCAAAAGAGGGCCTTCGTAGCTTTGGTTTGAGCATGTGCGTGTTTTTGTTTAACAAATGAATTAAATTTCCGTTCGCGTAGGTTCTCGGATACGCAAGAAGGACTGAAGAAGGAGGTTGGACATTCTCTCCTACTGCACGGAAGACAATAGCCGACTATTTAGCAAAGTAATAGTTATTCTCGTATGAATCCAGAAAAAATAGATTTAAATGCAAATTGTACACTGTCTTTTGTAATGTATTACATTTCAATAAGCAACGAGCTTTTCAGTGAGGTGGTAATCTCTTCTTTCTTGCTGATGCGGCGTTTTTTTTTTCCTAGTTGGTGGTTATTGATTTCTTCTCATCAAACCTTCTTGAGAATTTCTAGTTACAGGAGGATTATCACTTTTATTTGTATACATTTACATAGAAATAGTATTTTTCTTGTTATGTTGCAGGTTTCCACAGCTGTTTGAGTCTCTAGCTAAGATGTCCTCAAATGATCAATACTTCGCAAACGATTTGGTTGCAGGCGAAAATGGGTGAGATTCTTTGAACCCTTGACTTTATGATAAGATGACATTTTTTTGCAGTTCATGTTGCCTTTGCCTTTGGTAAAACAGATATAATGTTGTCAATGCTCTTAAATGAGAGTCTCCAGATGACATTTCATGTAAAACATTGCCTCCTCCTCTTTCTCCTTTTTCTCCCAATTTGGCGATGTAATTATGAGAATTCAGACAAGTAATGTAGTGAAATCACTGATTTGTTTGTCTAGGTCCTTATCGGAGGTCCAGGACTGGTTAAAGACGGTACCTACGCTTAGTCTAGAACCCGTTAAATGTGGAAACAGCAGCTTAGATGAGCCAGTTGTGGAAGCTGTGGAGCAGGCCATTCAGAAAACCAAGGTCAATATTAACCCTAACGTTTTGATACTTTATCTCGTTTTTGTTTTGCGAAGGCAACTAATTCCGCCTTACTGATTACGTTGATTAATTTGCAGGGATATGTTATATCCCTTCTTCCCTCCCGTCTTTGTTCTGTTACTCTAATTTTATTGCTTTCTGTAAATGTTTGTTTGTGTGTGTGTGTATAATTTTCAGGAACTGAACCAGAAACCAAAAAGCGTCAAGGTTCGTGTGAGGCCACACCTCTTATTTAGGGTGAGTATATTTCCCATTTCTATATTTTAAACAGTTCTCTTGGAAACCAAAAAAATACCAGTTGACCTGATCATTGTTATATATTACAGCCTTCAGAGCATTTAGGAGACATCCTACCTGACAGTGATGCATCGTTCGAGTTATTTGATCGAGTTGTTAACGTTAAGATGAATGCAGCTGTTCCGTTTGGATTGAGAGGAACTGTCACAGGCATCCATCGAGGTAAGTTATAATGATTTAATTTTCAGTTACTAAAAAACCCCTAATTTCTTATCTTCTACTGTTTGCATTTATAGGTGATGAATCATCAGACGTGATGTATGAAGTTGTATTTGATGACTCTTTCCTGGGTGGACAGCCCCTGAGGTATTGTATTTTGCAGTGTTTAAAATAACAAGTGCTCAAGAACTCAACCAAGAAACTGTCCGTTGTTGTCGGGAAAGTAATTAATTTCGACATGAAATGGTGTTACTTGAAACCTTAATGTCAAATAAAAAGCTACTGCAAGGATGAAACAATGTTAAATAACCAGAGTAATATGACGTAAGACCAGTGTTGGTTTATTCAGCATATTCTGTCTGTACAGGGTACAGTTTAGTTTGACCAATACTGGTACATGGTACAGTGTGGGTTGAACAGTATTGGTACATGCTATTGACTGGGTGACTAGTATTGGTATATTGTATAGATGGATTTACCATTCTTGGTATGGGTTAGTGGGTACAGTGTGGGTTGACAAGGATTGGTGCATAGTAAAGAAAGGATTAACCGTTATTGTTTCCCTCAGGTGTTCGTCGAATAAAGTATACCTTATGTCAGCGTCGTCACTTATTAACATCAGCTATGGTGATCGCTGTGAAGCTCAAAAAGTCGAAGAGAAGTCAACAGGGAAAAGTCAGCAAGCTGGACGCAGTGGAAGTACACCACCCACCAGAGCGCCCTTTAGTCCAAGTCTGGGTGCATCACCCGAGCTCAGTGGCAAAAATAACAACAGACACAACTCACCGGAAGTCAGGTTAAATTCCTCAGGTGCGTCTGCTCGCTTCAATTCGGGATTTTTTTTAGAAAAAACCTTTTCACCACTTTACATTTATACCATTACCGGCTATAACCCGTCGTCTCTTTGTGCCATGTTTTGTTTCCTTCAGGTGCCCCGCCGCCGGGTTTTGGCCGTGGTATGTCTCCAAACAGTCCATATGGTGGTGGCTTTGGTTTGTCTAATGGCATGAATTCTCTTGCTAGTCCTTGTCAAGCTAATACTCGAACAAACACACCTCACAGCAAAACTAAACAACGAACACCAGTAATTCAAGCTCGAGGATCCCCGCAAGCGCAGATTAATAACAACCGATCAACACAAAAGTGAGTCAGTTATTTTCATTTACGGTGTTTAGACCGTCAGCAGGAATTTCTTAGCCTTTATTCATTGCAAGATTAAAAGAGTCTTATCACTTGGCCAGTTAGTTATTTGATTGTTACTTGTGTTTCTGTTAATTCCGCGGTAAACGAGGAAACTGATTACTTATTGCAATTTATCAATCATTTTGTGGTGTCTCTATTTGTTAACAGGACTGATGAGCGGATATCCACGCCTCCAAGGTTTCAAAAGGTAAAATAATAGGGACCTTAATCAACCACGACGACGACGGCAGTGAAAATGTCGCTAAAAAATGAATTGGCGTTCTTTCAAACTTACTCGCGTCTATTTGGACCCGCTCAATAAGTCAAATGCAGGCGACTTTTCCCGGAATTGAATTGTTAAGTAGTTTATTCAAGTTCAAAAAAAGGAAGGAAAATTCGTCGTCGTATGTCCACGTCCTTCATAAAACGTCAAATTAGGAGGTTTCACGTCGTAATCGGGCAATGGACGTCAAAGAAATGTACTAAAAAGCGTAATGCACGTGCAGAGCTGTTGTTTTGATCATTAAACCTTTATTGTTTGTTGAAGTTGTCGTCGTTGTCGTAGTAGTAGTAGTTGCTTAAGCTCCATAATAAACAATTATGAACGGTCATGAACTCACTGATACTAAATGTAGTTCAATGAAAGTTGAGTGAGGGTTTATTTTATTTTATTTAATTCACTCTGTCAGGTGCCAAAACCTACGAATGGTCCAAGTGAATTCGCCGATATGTGGAAAGAATTAAAACTCAAAGAAAACTCTGCCATTGACAGTGGTACTGACTCAGAAGATGTGCATTCTCCTGGAGAAAATACGGCTGAGAAAACAGGCGAAACACTTATCAAGGTCTGTCAATCGATCATGCTATCCCAAAACGTATAGATGTTTGTCAAGGGATACGATTTTCGTACATTCGGATTCATAAACATGAAAGTATTATTCAAAATGAGGTCGCCCGGGAACGAGACTACAACTTTGAGCATGTGCTGTGACGTCAGCATTCACAGAAATGTATATTTTGGTGAATTTGAGCCCAGTCGAAACGGATACAGTTACCTGTTTACAAATTTTGGCTATGTTGGCCTAAATATATAATTTTATTTTTTTAAAAAACCCATTCACGGACGTAAATGTATACCTGTGGACGTAGCGTTAGTTTCTTTTTGCTACTTTCGGACCAGGTTTTATTTGTTGTCCGTCTTGTTTAAAACTGAATAAAGTACATAGTCTCCTGAGATCAGGTGTTTGGAAATAACTCATCGTTAACTTGTTTCAGGACGGGACGCAAGCTCTCCGTGAATTGCTCCAGATTGGTGTAAAGCCAGTTGTTACTGAAACAGAAAAACAGAAAGAAAAGGAACAAGTTAAATCTACGGAACCATCAGTTCATAGCAGCAGCGGCGGCGGAAGCGGAGCCAGGCATCTGTCAGTTGATGAACTTTTTCGCAGTCAAAGTGAGTTTAAATCTTGGTTATCAAAGCTCAAAACAAGTGTATTATGTTTTGAATTATCTTTTTAATGGAGTGGTTTGTATCGTGTTTAAGGCTCTGCACAAGCAGTTTCTCCTCAAGCTGTCGCGTTATCGTCCGTACCTTACCAAGTTGGGTAAGTCAGATTGATCGTGATTAGAACTTATATTTCCACTGCTTGTTAAGGATTTTAGAGGTTTGTTAAGCTAAAGGAATACACTCTTTTGATCACAGAATGTTTTTTTGTCCGTCCCGGCGGCCTTTGATGGATGGTTAGTTTGGTGGCGACGCTCCATATAGACTCCTGGCGACTGCTTTAGTTGCTTTTCACTAGTCTAACATATGTCATGTAACTTTTAACCAATCTGCCCCTCACCTGTAGATGAGAGGGCTGATACAAGGGTTTAAGCGAGGGAAGGTTAGGAGTGCTAGCTAGTTTGGTCGTGGCACAGAATCCAGATAACGCGCGGGTCGCTTTGTCGTACTAATCTGAAATACCTTCGCCCAACATGTAGCCTCCAAGTTCTTGGTTTCTTGTGGCTCTCCGAGGTTCACCAGAAGAGAACTTTTCATTTTTGTTCATGTTCTCTTTATTGTAGGACCTTGCCGTCTGCAGCCTTGCTGAACTGGTGCCGATCTGTTGGTTTGCCCCCACCCTACTACCATCGTACGCCAGTACCACGTCAGGTGGGTTATCATGCGCATGCGTCACTAATTTTACATTCTCCACGACTGCTGTAAATCAATGGAACTATTCTGGACTAAATTGATTTTACTCTCTCCTATCGTGAAGCTTAACTGAACAACTTTAGATTTGTTACCTTCGTTTTTTCTAGGGCGTGGTAGCCACAGTAGAGTTGGCCAATGGATTTAAGTTTCATGGCAGTTTGTGTCGGGATCAAAATGAGGCTGTAGAAAGTGCAGCATCTATAGCGCTCTTTCAACTGGTAAGAAAGAATTTGCTGTCAGTAATATTTCTAGCCCATAAAATAATTACTGGACTGTTTGGCATAAAGTGATGAAGTTTGTGTAGCAGACTTTGCAGCATAATTTAGAATATCCTGATTTCTCGAACCAAGAATGAACTCTTGATATGAATAGATACATTAGCTGACTGTAAAGAGAGATAAAAAGCTAACATTGCTTCCATTTCAGCCTCGCATCATGCCTAACGTACCCAGTCCTCAACACTTAGCTATGCAACAGCGTCCACAGCACTTTGCACCAGGCTTCTTTCCGGTTTCTCCGCCTGCTTTTGGGGGCTTTGTACCTAGCCCGTCTCTAAGGCAACACACTGTGCACCAACAGTCACCCCAATCTCGACCCAGCGCAGGTGACCCAAGAGCAGTTGGTGCGTCAGGGAAAGATACCGCGAATCAAATGCTAAGTGCGTCAGCGGTTCCTTTCATTCCTCTTCAGGTTTGTTGAATTTAAAAATTCTCTTAAAACGAAATGATGCACTCCATTGATGAACATTAAGGCACTCTAATATTCCTGTATGTAAATGTGGGTATGTTGATCGTAGTTATAGGTTCATCCTGGTGGTTGCACAGTTTGCACCTATCGCCTGAAAAGATTCAGGCTTACACATTGTAACAACTTTATTTGCTGAAAAGTAGAGAGCTAAAATGACTGCGAAGAACTCAGTCGTAATACAGGGCTTACTCCGCACTAAGCTGGGATTCCCGGGCCCGGGCCTGGGCCTTTGAGCTATATATGAACTAATCTAGCCAACTGGAGATCAGGTCAAGTGTGATCTCCTGATGTAAGCGATCATGGAAATGAAGAGAGTTCAAATCTATGAAATATATCTTAAATTTAAACTGCGCATGAAACAGTTGAATGTGGATGTCATCCTCGCAGTTAAATGATAAACCGAAACAGTTGAAAAGACAGAAAACTTGATAAAAACTAGGCTCTACCAAGGTGAATGTGTAAACGAGTGGTGGTTATTTCCGTGGTGCATTTAGTTATTATAGCACACAATATAACCTTTGTAATCACCCATATTTAAAGGAATAACCCTAACCCACCCTAATAAACTACAAAACAGTTCGGTGACCTCCTGATATGAATGTTTGTTGCAGGTTACCAAGAGAAGTCACCAGTCCTCCCCGGCAAAACCGCAAAAGAGTACGAGTTTACCACAGGAACACTCGGTCAGCGGTAACTCTGAGCAAGACAGCAATCTGGGTGAACGTCAAGATGATGTGGATACAAAAAGCTCAGCTACACAAAGCCGAGTACCTGAGAACCACAGCCCACAGCCCCCCTGCACTGTACAGGAAAACAGTTTATGTTCTCAGAGTGCGGACAATTCTTCACCGTTACAGAAAACAGAAAGAACTAACGCTGCATTCAGAAAAACTACTAACGCTTCCAAAAGACTTTTAGCTCCAAGCTTCTTTTCCAAGAAAAGCTGACATCCGTGGTGTTAAATAATTTCAGTTTCATTATGTATTTTTACTCTTTCAGTTAAATGTGTTATTCCGCGATAAAAAGTGAATTTTGGGTCATGTACAGTAAAAACAAGCTGGCGAAGTTTTGTGGCTTCAAAACAAAGCACGAACGAAGCGATTAAGGTTCATGTGCCCTTATTTGATGCTGCTATATCGTGCGGTTAAATTGCTGTTGTTACAATGAACTTCGTACTTTTGTTCTTAGCGCGGATGTAGTAACGGGGATTATTTTTATTTACTGGTCTACCTGTGGCAGAGCCAGTCTAGTTATAAATGCTAAATAAGGCTGTGACTCGCTTTGCCAAAATTTTTAATGACGTAAGCATGTGAACCTCTTATCAGACTGCTCGTACAAATGTAGGAACAAATACAAAAGGGGTCTTTTCATGTGTTTGCGCTTATGCTCTTCTGAGAAAAGATTCGGGTTTATCTCACTTATCTTTTACATTTGTTTTATCCGTTTGCTTTCTTTGTGACGGAGTGGGGTAGGGTGGTAGCGGATTGCATATCTCGAGTCAAGCAAAACATCATTACTTTTTACAATTTAATAGTCCTATTTTATTTTTTATGTTTTCAAGTGAATATATCCAAAAAACAACAAATAATTAAAACGTGTAAAAAAATCCTTTGTTTGTCATCTTCTGTTTTCATACCTAAACGCCGCGGAAGTGATGGCAGGGTTATTAAAATAAACTATGGCCTAAAGAGGTCACGTGACCTTGCATTTACTACAAAGTTCGGGCACTTACAAATGATTCCTCGAAAATGTCCGCATGAAGAGCGTCAATTGTCTGAGTTAATGCCGCTCACTAGTGCGTAAAGATATCACATACAGTACGTTAGTTGGTACATAGAGAGCCCATATTCGTTCCTTGGCCGAAAAAGTTCAAAAATGTGTTTGGTTACCTGAACACAAGCGAATAGGTGATTTATTATTTGTTATGAAATGTCGGTAATTTCAGGGGTCAATGCGAAAGTTTTCAAAATGAAAGAGAAATTTACAAACTTCAAGTGGATTTTATATACGGTACATAAAACCGGCGCAATGATCATGGTAAAACAAAAACAATTGAAATGAATAAATATTATGGTTACATCTACGTTCATGCTTATTAGGAACTGATAATGAAATAAACTCCATGCAAATGTATTTCAGCTCGGTGCAACGTTAGTTGCTGAAAGGTATAGATAATGTATCTTCTGTTATAGAAAAAAAAAATACGCCTAATGGTTTAGTATCATCTTTGCGATTACTGATTGGTTAACAGAACGTATAATAATATTGGAATTTTAAACGTCTTCTGTTGGATGTGAGTTTTTCGGTTTTTTTAAAACAGCTTTGCTATCAGATTGCGGGGTCAATTTTATCTCCGGGGAAAACTTGTACGGCAACAAAGGGAAATGAATTACTGAGTAGCTCATGGATTATTTATGAGCCGTAAGTAAGTGACCCTATCTTACTCAATCCTTGTGCCTGTTATTGGGAGCTCTTCACCATTTCATACAATTTTAATTAATTGACAATAACATTTAGTGAACTCGCACAAATATTTACGCAAAAAGAGTGTGAAGTACTTTACTTACTAAACTTTATCAAATCCATAACTTTTTCCGAAAGACTTTGTGTCTTGTAGAGCGTTTTGATGTTCGCTGGATAAAAATTATAGGAGTTTATTGCGGCAATTTTAATTAAGTGCAAAGCCCTGTTGAATCTTCCATCTAAAGTAAATTGTTAATATTTAATTACGATTTAAAAACGTTCGTCAACTAAGAGTACACCATTCAGTTCAAGTCAGTAACATGACCTGTAAAGCTGTTCTTCATGTAGTGTTTTTCTTTCTTTTTGCGGAACGAGTAAATTCACTGCAGGACAGGTATTGCGTTTTTATCTTTATCCTGTAGTTGTTGTACTCAGTTTAAAGCCATCTTAGTTTGAATTAGAGGTTTTTTCAGAGGTTTCGGGAGAGCCCTGTACTTTACAATAGTTATTTTCCGTTAACTTTAAAGGAAAAGCATTCTGGCTTTCTTCTCCGCACAACCACGACTTGGCATAACTGTATACTGTTAGTAGCAGAAAAACAGAGAGAACGATCGACCAGTTGACCGATCAACTATTCCTCGCTCTACTTTTGTGGTGCTTACGTGTAGTTCGGAAGAAAAACATCGTTAGGAAAGATTACGTCAACCTACGTCACAGAGACACCCAAAACAGATCAGACTGTAATTCTCGTAATGGACATTTTAAAAATTACTGGGTTCGATTCCTGATCGCAGTCAGAAAGACTCCTGCACAAACCTAGCCTCGAGAGGATTTCGAAGGAAATGGGCGTCGGGTGATTAAATCTACAGCAAGTATCTAAGTCAATTACATTCAGAATTAACGAGTGCCATTCGACAAATGTATCATACCTTTCCCTCTAGGTGAGAGACTAATAACCGACTGACAGACAAACTGACTCACAGGCTACTGAACTGATCGTGTTTTGCTTGCCGTGACCGCGGACAGATGTTGGACTGTTTTTAATTGAGCGTAGTACATTCGATTTCAAGATCTCTCGTTTATAATAGTGTTCTTTTGAATGCCTTCTCTAAGCTTTCTAAAACAGCAGCTAAATTTGTCCTTTTTCGCGGCAGTGAAAGTTACTTAACGTGATGTTATTTTTACAGGGAGAAAGTTGAAAATCTTCTGAAATTTTTGCTAAAAGAAGACAACTATGACTCCAGGATCAGACCTGATTATAACGGTAGGCATGCGCAGTAAGAGCAATTTGCCAGGCGGCATGTCTTTCACTGCCGATGCAACTTCAGAAAACAAAAGCCTACAACTTCGTTTTGGTTCTTTTTCCTTGAGAATTGTTCCTTTTTCCTCACTTTAGTTTAATATAAAGGCCGACAACGGCAGACTTAAGGTTCGACGGGTAGCTCATGTACAATTCTGTGGTATTTCTTTGTGGAACGAGATTTCTCTATTTCGTACTGCCTCGCTCTAAATGGAATAGCTGCATCTTGTTTTTCGTACCTCTGTCGTGTTTAACTTGTTTTCTTTTGACTTTTGTCCAGGGGGACCTGTTGTTGTTACCGTTGGTTTTTTTGTGATGTCTATCAACGCTATTAACGTTATGGAAATGGTTTGTATAAAATAGCACTTATTAGTTTATATAAAACACATTTTAAGATTGTTAAAAAATTCTGATTCCAAATCGTCAACCGTTCATTAAGAAGAAGTAACTGATAAAACATGAGCGACCGCTACGGCCCCGTACGAAGTCTGAGGACTCGGTTTGAACTCCGACTACGCGGTTACTATGAAGGCCTTTTAAAAGCCAATGGCACTGGTTAACAATATGTTTGTCTTTCTTTCAGGATTTTACATTGGATTTGTTCTTGAGGCAGCAGTGGGTAGACAAGAGGCTTGATCACGGCACTAATGAAACATTTTACCTCAGTAATCACGTGGTTAACTATATTTGGATGCCTGACTCCTATTTTGTAAACGCCAAAGATGGTGAAATGCATGACGTCACAAGTAGTAATGTGATGGTCATGCTGGCCCCAGGAGGCCTGGTAAAATACAATGCACGGTACGAGAAAACAGGTGCCTACTACCCTAAGGATAATGATTCCTTCTAGTGATCGGTGCTTATCCGCGACGTACACAAAACAAATCGATAGGATTTTTCACGTACAATATCTAAAATGATTCCGAAAGCCCGGCCGGTTATTTTTTCATGTTTTCTCTGCTTGTAAACATGAAAAAATAAGCTACTTGTGGGTAGCTACATGTGCTAAATGTGTATTTCAGTGACTAACTTTAACTCTTGCACTTTTATACAAAGCAACAGTATCAATATTTCACTGTTATTTCAGAATCACTGTTAAAGCTTATTGTCCGATGAATTTGGAAGATTTTCCGATGGACAAGCAAAGATGTCCTATTACGATTGAAAGCTGTAAGTCAGGTGTATCGTATATACTACACGAACACTAACTGACGGACACACTTTTCCAAATATTTTCCATAACTCTGAAGTCTGATATGAGCCTCGATCCGACAAGGTGCTCATTTGTTTTCTCTATTTCTTTTGTCATTTAAAGAAAGAGTGATTGTTTTTCAAGAAAAATTGACTGAGCAGCTTGTTCAATGCTTTAACAAGCAACTGACCATCTCTTTGTTATTCAGATTTATTTTTCAACGGGATTTTCCTGTTGGTATTTTGGACTTTTACCGTAAAGAATATGATAAATACTGCAGGGCTATTCAGTTCCCCAGTGGAGTGTTTAACCAGTACAAATAGTTAATAAAACATAGCTAAACATTAAGACCCACGGCTTTATCATCTTGTTGTTTTAGATGGCTACAGCGACGCTCATATCACTTTTAAGTGGGAGACATCAAATGGCATGGAGTTTGTAGCCAGTAATCTACAAATGCACCCTCAGTACGTTCTCACTGGTATGGAGTTATCACAGTCCTTTACGGCTTATGTTGCAGGCGAGTAAATTTTACTGTCCTCATTTTTAATCCGAGTTTCTTGCGAAGTCGTATTTGCATTATAGTAATGTCATATCAAACATGAACAATTGTTTTTAAACACCGGGAAAAAGATGAAAAAAAGGGGAACACAGCAATTTTTATTTCAAAGGTTTGTTCGATCGTTAGAGTGTTTTACAGCTTTTGATTTTTGGAGAAAAAACAATTGAAGACGAAACTATGAAAAACATTTTCCATAATTTTGGGAACAATTAACCACAAATTAATATTGGCTTGGTTTCTTTTCTCAGCCAACTGGACTGGAGTTACAGCAACATTCGTTTTTGAAAGGATTTACAGTTATTTTATCTACAATGTGTACGGACCTTCGGTGATTGTTGTGATTATTTCGTGGGTTGGTTTTGTTATACCACGTGATACACCAGCAGCTCGCGTGACCCTAGCTGTCACGGCAGTACTGACAATTGTAACCATCCTGACCATACTGAACAGCTCTATCGCCAAGGTACGTCACGCCAATTTCTATACGACGTATTGCTGACTTTTTCAGTGTCGACGAGCTAAAACCTACCAGTGTTAGACGAAGGGAACTTGGCTATAAATCCAGATGACTTGCCAAAAACCCAGTGAATGTCCTCACTACCATCTTTAGCTTGAGCTTCAACGTACAAAGCCAACCGGCCTATGCGTCTGGTTAAATTATTTATGTACGACTCTGCTCACAATTCAAAAGGCCAAAAAAAAAATTCCGCTTGGGAGATATAAAAGTCTTCTTTGGAATGATTTTGCAGCCATTATAGGTTAAAGTGCTTCTTAATAATTTTGTCTTGTGGATTTTTAATATAAGAACACCAGAAAACCAGAATAGTGACCGCGCCTTGTATCGGCTCAGTCAATGCGTAAACACTGTCTTTCCCTACCCACGTGACCTCGCTTTTCAAAATATTTATTTTATCGTGACATTTAGATCCAGAATAATAATTTAAATTTAAAGTAATAATTATAGTCCAACAATTGAAAATTGGACGTTAAACCCTGAAATAACACAAGGCCACGAATTTCAAATTTCGCGATTTTTTCTTTTGCCCTAGCCTGAATTTCATCTGATTACTTCGAGTCGTTATTAACTTCCTCAGTTGCTGAGAGGAGAAAACGACTCGAAGAAAATGGATGAAATTCAGGCTATTTTTGCCCCCGTTTACGTACTTTTGGAGGCATATCCTACACAGGTGTACAAACAACAACTAGTTTTGTAACGTAAGAATAATTTTCTTCTCAGCACAGAGGTGACTTGAAGGGTATGATTTCTATTTTTCTCATTTTTTTAAAGGTAAACTACATAAAAAAGATAGATGTATATCTTATTTGCTGTTTCTTATTTGTGTTTGCATCCTTGATGGAGTACTCAATAATCTTATTACTATCTTCGAGAATGAAGAAGATGCAGCAGAAGAGACCTCACAAGGAAGCTGAGGAGGTATTTAAGTTGTCATTGTTTTATCGGCTAATTCAGAGACGTTGATGAACTAGGCCATCGCAATAAAATGTTTCGTTTCCCATCGCCCTGTCTCTTGTGATGGTGGGTGTCGGTCGGTCGGGCAAAGCCTGGTTACAAAGTCAACTCGAAACGTGTTCTTTTTGACTATCAAATGTCTAAACAGCCTTTAAAAAACGTAGTATCGATGTTAATTAATAACAAGGACATCACATCATACCAATTGTTGTTAATAAAACAAGATCGTGTGCTTGTACTTGCTTCTCTGACTAGTTTCTTTGACTACACTGTAGTTAATATGGAAATTTTTTTTTTTTTACTTTTCGAAAAAAATGGGTCGGTCGGGCGATGGGAAACGAAACATTTTATTGGGATGGCCCTAGTAGAAATTAACAATCAACGGTAGATTTCAAAATCCTCAAGAACGTTTGTGCCTTTGTTACTTTCGACGCCTGACCACATTTCGTCTGGATAAATCCTTCTGTTTATGATCATAATACAAGACTTATGAGTTTCGTTTATCTTTCTCAACAGGAAAAAGAGGATCTTGAAAGTAACTCCTTTTCAGTCTATCCGATTGACCAACTTAAAGCGGTCATCGCCTACCTTAAAAGCCGTGTTTACACCACGTCCTTTATTTCTTCCCTTGATGATTATTCAGTTTATCTCTTTTCAGCAGGATTTGCCATTTTTAATTTTGCTTACTGGCTGAACACATTTAAATGAACTTAATACTGGAATGTGATTAAAGGCAAACGTCTCGAGTTCGTCCGACGGACTAAAGCAGTTGGAGGTATCCACAATTACAAAACCTGGTTGTTGTTCCCTGATTGATAGTCAATAGTACTAATCTAGTTTAACTGGGGCGGGGAATGGGTGCAGTCATACTTCAGTGCGGAGTGAAGCCGCTCCCACAAGCACAAGGTAAAATGCGCTATTTTTGGCGCAAATTACGTCAGTTTCCGAAAGGATAGGTTTGAGCAACAACGGTTATTGGAGCTTTTTGAAAACACTAAGATTAAGGTCCAGTGGTAGTTTATACATTAAATAACAGTCTTGTGTAATAACTCAAATACGTATAGATGGGAGCAGGTCATTGCTCCATTGCTTGATTCAACACTTTATGCTATTGGCCCAACTCGTACAATGCATTAAACGAACAATATTAATTAATAAAACAACTACAAGACATAACAAATGGGCTCCTATCTATCCAGCTCTGCACAGGCCTACCACTCAAGTGAGGGCCGGAAAAAATAAAGGGCAAAATAGGTTTTATCATGATCAGGCCTTTATAAACAGATCGCGGTTCTAGCTATTGTAAAGCAACTCTAATATACACGTCAAAACGTTTGATAGAAATTACTCCTTCTAATGTAAAAAATCAAGTTATTTTAAATTCCCCTTTATGAATATTGAACTCTTAAAATACGTCGAATTAACCTGTCACTATTTAAAACGTGGAAAAGAAATTGGCTTTCGGACAGATTGTGATTAATGGATTAACTTAAAGAAAAGAGGTATTAAATATAAGCGAACATATGAAGATAATAAAGACTTTCATTGACTACATTATGCACTGCCTTCATTGTCTTACTTATCTCCCATGAGAAAATAAAAACGAATTACTTAAATAGATCAACCAAACAAACTTATGATCTACTCTACGGAGCAGAAAGGTTGATTTGTACCAAACATTGCGGTGTTTATTTTTCTTGTGGAGTAATGTCTACTTCTCATTTACAAAGTTGGGCTTGATTAAGAGACGTGTTTTAAACTGCAGATGATATTTTAGCGGAAGCTCTTTATTATAACTGTGGACATGGTGACCCAAGCAGCACAATGGATATGTTAACGGGTTGATAAATACGTATCAAAACCAAGACGCGCGTTCAGCTGTTAGTACGGTAAAATAGTGTTGCTATAAAAGCCAACGGAATTTTATCTAAAACTGGACCGAATATAAAACATGAAAACTCCACGAACCCGTAAAGGGCGCGGTAAACATGGGCGAAAACTTGGCAAAGTAACCTTGGATACCGAAAAAAGCCTTAATGATAGCTTCGGTGAAGAACTCAAAGAAATTCCGGGACATTTTATGTACAATGAAGAAAACGACGCAATCCAGCAGGTCTTAAAGCTGCCTGATATTTCTGTAAGTGATGGATCTGAACATAAGGGAGGTAACAAGCGTGATTTAAGTTTGCCACCTATCAGCGGCGAAGACAAAAGCACTAATGAACATAGAAAACAAACCGGTGGTCACACAAAACTACCTAAGATTAACACAGAACCACGAAATAGTGGCTCTGTTATGAGGTCCGCCTCATGGCTGGAGAAGCAGGACATGTCGACCATTAGTTGGAAGAAAGCTTTGGATGTTTTGGATGACAAAACTCGAGACTATCCAGCAAAACAGCACAAACGGCCAAGAAACGATGTAGAATATCGTAAGAGAGAAACAGGCAAATGAATTGTACTGTATTCGATCAGTTAATCAAATTTAATTTGCGCACTGATTTCAAGTAAAATATTATTTATGGATATGGTGTGAGGAGGTTTATACTCCGGTATGAATTCAGCCATCAATGTCCTGTGTATCTTGTTGTAAATATTCATTATATCAAGGCGTCTCGTCATTTTAAATTCTATTTCATGGAGATATTGAATGCATTTTAATTTTAAAAGAATTGATTCTGGATATCATTGAATTTGTCTTTATTTATAGAGGAAATGGCAAAGGTTTGTAGTTGTATATGCTCCTATAAAAAGACTACAAACTTCTAATAACCCGCCATAAGGACAAATGTTAGCAGCTTAAAATCTGAGCTTAGTTCCAAATCATCATGACCGAATAACAGGTTATTTGTTTCCTGTATGAAAAAGTGTCTAAAACTTTCTCTCAATCTTAGCAACATTATGATAACTCCGCCAGTTAAAGGAGCTATTGTCGCCTTCATCATAAACTAGAAAATCTTTGCGTTTTTTTCTGGCCACTACTATAGAATAACTAAATGGGGAAGATACAAATTCGATGTTGAGTTTACCAGTCAATAGACAAGTACTATACCGCCCCCAAACACCCACAAAATACTCTCGGACGGAGAATTTACTTTGCTAACCTGAATTAACACAATGGAAGTTTACTTGTGGGAGTGAAATGGAGTTTTGGCCATTTAGTAAAGTAGCGTAAAAATAGTTCTTCCTCTTAGAACTCAAAGCAACAAACTGGCAAAAATCGTATGACTCGAGAATGGTTCATCTTCGTGACCTCTACTACAAAACAACATACTTCATCAATGAACTATTCAGAAAAAATTGTCTTCTAAAAATTTCCTTTCATCAACAAAATAACATGCGTGGAGGACTGATTTGCATTGTATTTATTTAAAAGGATGATTGCTAAGTAAATCGTGGGAAAACCTCGAAACCTAATATCAAGGACTTCCTATGCCTGCCTTTAGACACTGGTAATTTTTCCGTTTGTTTTTCTTCAGACGTAGAAGTCTACGGCAAAAATTTTGGAATCAAATACAAAATATTAAAAGGGTCTAATTGACGACTCAAATCGCAGGGTATTTTGTCTGCAAAAATACACATCAGTAGCTGTAGTGTCGCTTGTTCCTTTCAATGCACTCATGATATTGCCTCGAATTGCCCCAGATATCCATGCAGAGTATTAGAATTGACAAAGCTGGAAGAGTAGGAAGGTATGTGGGTAGCAGCTGTAAATAGTACGGAACAGCTGTTAACTGTACACTGAGCCATTTGGTCAGTTGGGGCCTCCGACTAGTTGGAACTGTTCTTGATCCTGTTAAGTTTGATTCAGTTAATTATTTGCTTCAAGCATTTGCTCGATCCCGCTAGCATAAGTGCAATAAACAAAGGACTTCTTATCAGTATTATTACTTTTACTCAGTGTCAGAACCGGAAAACATTATCGTGATCATACAATGAAACTGGGATCGAACTAAAAACGTGGGTGGCATGACGGCTCACTGGACTGCGGGGAAACAAAACGAAACGCAGGATCAAAGTTTCTCTTTTGAGGATTAATCGTGATAAGAAGCAATCAACAGGTGTTACTTATAAAGAAAAGCTCCAGATATTAAGCTGAGACCGAGTTTATTTCACTTCCGTGTCATATATTGGCAAAGCTGGATCCGCTATTGGTTTAATAAAGTTTGTTCCAGCTGTAGTTGGGTAAATAAGAACTTTAACTATGTTGTCATATTAAGGAGTAAGGAGTCACTATATTTCAGCATCACCTTATCTGCCCATCATCCAGTCAGTACAAATATACAGGGTTATAAATAAAGTGCACAATACAGTAAATTACTGCAGCTACAGAAGACACTGAGCCTATAGATTGGATGAACACTCGTGGTAAGTTCACTATATAAATTGTGCTACATCTTTCGCTACATGTCTATATTTGTCAAGTTTCAAATTCAAAGAGAAATTTAGATACATAGTTACGGAGACTAAATCTAACCAGCTAATTCTCTTATTTACGGAAAAATCCTTTGTTTTAAAGTGCCATTTTACTTATGCCACGCATGTACCTTTTCACTTCGCTTTGAATGTCATGCTCAGTAATCTTTTCACCTTGCACTGAAATTTATAAACCAAAGGTACAAAAAACGGAGCAAGTCAATAAAGGTTTTCTAAACAGTGGCTCGTCATTTAATCAAAATTTGACAGGGGATCTGAGTGAGTCTAGTAACTCGCCCGTCTGCGACTAATGAACTTAAAATAAAATCAGACTGAAAACATTCACCGTCTCATCACGCTGCAATACCGGCTTTGGAAGCACCTGTTACGAGGCTATGTAGTACAATTTTGGATTAAACAGTTTTGAAATTCGCATAAGTTGTACAGCGTTATGAGTTAAAATGACTGCAGGCCTTTACTCATCACACGGTTTGATTGATACCGACGTACAGAAAGACCAGTTAAAAACTACTCTGTTATAAAATAAATCAAATTATTTTGTCAAATGGCTTTAAATGGCAAAAATAACAACAAAGAGCAAACTTGAAAATGTTTTACTATACTTCATCTTTGTTCCTTTCCATGGAAAATCATAAGTCAATTATTAATGAAATATTTGGTTTACTTAATAAAGCAAGTTTTATGAATAGAGCCACGGGCAGCGTGGTCGAGTACCTCTGAATTAAACCCGCAAGTTCATCTCTCTACGATTACAAAGAAACCGAACTAGTTCGCCTGCTGTCACTTGAAATATCTCTATTTAGTAAAACTTTGAAATTTCAATGAAGTCGCTTAGTTACCTGCCGAGTGGTGTATCTCATAACAGCTCATGAACAACTATCTATTTCAGTTTAGCGCATTCAAAGATGTATCGACCAGAAACAGTAGTGAACTACCTCATCCAGTTCAACGTCATGGTCACCAATCATGGTTTCTTTTTTGGTGCATTAGATTCTGGTCTCGCATCACGGCGCAAGTCTGTGATGCGGGAGATCATGAATACCAATTTAACTAAAAAGACTGGTAGAAATGTTTAACCAATCAGCTTGCTACAGGGCTTTTTAAGGAATTTCTTGCTCTATGGCACCTGTTTAGTCTACAAAATCTAAAAAGTATGAGCTTATTAAAATTGTACTCTCTTGTCAAAATGATTTCTAGAAATAACTATTTACTGAGAATTGCTATGAAAACTCTGTCCTCTTATGAACTGTATTACTTGAGAGATATGATTTTTGGATAAAATAAGTCCGTTACTTTTGCTCCCTGGATTTTGTATTGTTTTTGAGCTTAAAACCAATAAGAAGTTCCAACGGGCAAATGTGAAGGCTATGTGCGTATGTCCCAATGATTTCACCCTACGACAGAATATTCAGCCGATTAATAAGCGTCTACTGAAGCGAAACCAGAGTTACTTGATCAGTCAGTAATGCGTCAATATAAATACAAGTGTAGAGCAGAGATGATTTTCGTGAGGAAATTGGACATAACAGGGCTGGGCAAAGATTCCAGGTAAAATAGTCAACTGATTTATGACGTTTTTATAAGAAGTAGAGTCCAAGTCTGGCTTAGCACAGTCCCACGGGTACACAACTGCCACCTTAAAAAAATTAGCAGGCACTTTGAATTTTTCTAGGATTAAATCAAAAGGTAACTTTAAATAAAATAGCTTTTGTCCGCATTGTTTAAGAACTCACTGATACATTCTTACGAAATCGTCTTTTATAGTCGGCCATGCATACAAAAGAATCGAACAAGTTTAAAGAGTTTTTCTTTTATTTTTATCACTGACAGAGAAATGGATATAGCATGCCCTAGATTATTATTCTCTTAAGGTATCATCCACCCTCAAGCACCAGCGTTGATCGGCGCTAGCGCTTTTGCTTTTAATAAATACCCCCATAAACCGTACATTTTCTGAAAGCTTAATAGTTCCAGATTATTGCTTATTCCTTTCAAAAAATCAAAATATTAACGCGATTCAGAAATGAGAAGCTTTTTGTGAAAGTGGGTGTCTCTGTAAATTTAAGTCCAGGCCAGCCAAAAATAATGGAAGAAGCCAATTAAGATCGCATTCGCTTCTTAACACGTTTGACTAAAAAATCGTGTCTCAGCTTTTTGTCAAGTGGGTTTGTTCTTTTTTTATAAGCAGTTGAAGTCAGGTATAGCAAATCATTAGCACTACCTGTGAAAAAATACTCTTACTCGAAAACGAAAAAAGAAATCAAAATTCGCAGACACGACATTTTTAGAAAAACTATCTGACAGTAAGTTGGCCAACTTTCAGCCAAATTGGTTCACGGGTTGCCGTCTTGGAGTTTAAAACGTACCCTCAACTTGCCCTGATTTTCCTTTCGAGAAAACAGGGGAAAAAGATTTTTGGCGGCGTATTACCCGTGATGAGATCATAACAGATCATAACACCAAAGCTGTCAATGTTGATACATACCACACAGCAGGAAAAGGTTACAAACGAAACCCGGCAACAGATGAACAATTTATATCAAAGGCTCTGCTCTGTTCGATCCTTCTGTTGTCGAGAAAGCATCTTTAGTTATTGGCGACGGGCAGTTTTCATTTTGAGCCAAGCCAACTTTTACTCGATACATTTTCTAAAAGTTCGATACTTCCCTGGAAAAATCGACAACAAACCGCTTCCTGGAGTTTTTCTTGAAGCTGCTCTCCCGCTACAAGAGACTTTCAAAAAAGTCCTTCGTCCGATTTTTTTATGGCGCGGAACCTGTCGCGAATTTGTCGCTCGCTTGGCCTCTTCGCGGCCTAATAAGCGCTCCGCTCGCTAAGAAACTCGTGAAACTCGATTTTGCGGTAGTTTCAATGGGTTTTTCAGAAGCTTTGTCATCTTTTAGCCATTTTTCTTGATTGTAGTAGGAGCCCTTATAGCTC